GGGGGGGGGGGAATCTGTTTTGAACAGAAGCCATGGATAGATTCCCCCACAAAAATGGACTTACATGCGACGGCTTGAGTTTGTTGATGATGGTCGTTTTCCCGCTGTTGTCGAGGCCCAGGCAGAGCACGTTCACCTCTTTCTTGAAGCCCAGCCATCCTGCCAACTTGTCAAACAGCCCCATTGGCAGCAACCATCCGCACTCGCGCCCCCTCTACAACAAAGGCTCGCATCATTGTGGGAATGCGGAGGGAAATGTTTGCATTTGGGGGAAATCGTCGTAGTTTTTTCTCCTGTTTGATCGGGGGGGAGAGGTTCATTCAAAAGTAAGTTAGTCGAGTCGGGCCATTCTGTCAGCTTCAAGTGTGCTTGAAAAGACAGGCGGGAGTCCATCTGTGTGCCCAGATTCTAAAAACACTCCACCTGTTCAACCTAGTATCCGTGAATAAAAATGTTCACAGACTGAGTTGTACAGTGCCATGTGCAAGTATTTTGGCCCACTCTTCCTCGTAGAATAGCTTTAATTCAACAACACCGGAGTAGCGCCTCCTTCATATTAAGTCAACCCAGGTGATCTACTATTTATATCTATCATGCGTTGTTAGTGTCTTGCTTTGACATTAGTGTTGTTATTTATGACTGGTACGTTACTGGTGACCTGTGCAGAATCGATATCCCATACTGGAGTCTGCTGTGATAGGCTCCACCTTCTGTGACAATCAAGAGAAGCAGTATGATGTCAAGATAGGTCCAAACGTGCCTTCTGCAAATTTGGACTATTTCCGCTATGATGTATCAACAATGAACAGAGAAAGAGCATAGCACTTTTCGAAAGAATTGCTATGACATGTGCTCAGTCCTCCGTTATTTTGTGGGGGCGTTTGGGTTCAGTGACAGCATCTCTCACTGCAAGTAGCGACTTGACGCTAGGATCTCGAATGATAACTTAGACGTACAAATATCTGACAGTCGTAATACTGAACACATACTGTCATCTCCGTTGTATAAGGAATATTTACGCATGCTGATCACGTGCTCAACGTCGCCCCTAAGTATATCAGTTCAAGATTACGCAAAATGCAAGCAAATCCGTCAATCCCAGATCAACCGACGTGTTACGTTCACGCTCATTTATGCAACCAGTGGGTTCGATAATGCGCGCAGATAACATTGGCTGTAGTGTCATCGACGATTCGCCCGTCAGCCGTTAACTCCGACTAAAGAGATTGTAGCGTAATTAACAGTCACGGTCCTATTTAGTTAATCTTCTCTGTTCTGTAACGATACGGGGTAGCCCGAGCTAACCCCTTGATCGTAACGCCAATTTTTACGCTTCAGATCGGGTGATTTCTACTAGCAAGAAATTGACGTAAAAACAACGTCTTAATGTGTACGTTGTGAGCTCCACCCAAACGTTGCAAAATCCGACTTGAAACATGCAACTGATGCCACATAAACAGCTAACGTCAGAGCTAGCGACGCTAACGGTAGTTAGCATGCCACTTGTAATTCTGACACAGACACCTTTGTTTATATGTACTGAATATTACCTTTGATTCAACTCGGTGTTCTTGATGTGCACAGAAATGCGGTCTGGGCTCGTTTATTCCATCACCGGTGAGTCGTGTCCATTGTTTTCATTCATTTCTCGTGCGCATTTCCATAGTGCCCAGGATACGCTCCTGATTTATGCTGCATTCGAGGAAGTCGGAATTTTACACTTTCCAAATCAACAAACAACAAGCGGAACGGCCTACGCTCATACGTGACGAAATCGTTTTGTGCTTTGTGTTCGCAAATACACGTCGATAGCTATTTCATGATTATTTATGTACGTGTTGTGTTTTATTTAGCGCGACAGTTTCTTGGCAACACTGTGTTGCAAGTGACAACAAACCTCGAGTCACTTACAGGATGCTACCCGCCAGCCAAAGTTACTATAACCTTAAACGTTGCAATCACTCAACCCACAACGGCAAATGTAATACAGTACTGTACTCATCAACAAAATCGATACGATTACATCGTGAATAAAGAACGTATTTTTGGAATAACGCATTTGAGGATGTAAATTTTGTTCAAATGCTTTGTATATTGTTATACACGATTCAGCCATTGCACCACTTTAAACAAGATATTCTCAGAGTAGCAACTGAGTTTGGAGTGTCACCGTTGTGTCATCTGCAGGTTGCAGCACATTCAGAGAGACTGGAAGTGTTACAGAAAGGCATAAAAGTGGGAAATCCATGGGAACAAATATGACTTTTGCCGTTGATTGTTAGAGAAGAGCGAGTTGTGCACAAAATACTGAAGCGTTGAATCGTTGGACATGCATGCAACATTTTAGCGAACCAAATTCAGTCCGCATGTAAAGGTTATAGTGCAATAGGTTCATCCTGAAATTTCAGCAAAAGCCTAATTTCTTTTAACTCTGTGAGTGAAGTAGTGTATTGTAACAGAAACGTCTCTCTGTGGGACATTCAAATGTTTACACCAAAAGTGTCTGACGTCCAACTAATCTCTCCATGCCCTTCCTTGATGCCGTACATAAGCGCCTCATTGACAAACTCACCTGACAATTCTTCATGTCCAGAAAACGTGTCAGTCTCTTGAGTGACAGGAGCAAACAATGACTGTACGTGTCTGTGCCTGTGTGCGCATCCATGGATACCTTTGTCACTGCATGTGTGTGCGCGTCTGCCATCAGGTGTGAAATGTGCCTTTGCATTTGAAGTCCGAGAGATAACGCCAATGCATTAAAATAGAGTCGTTTATTCAGGAAGAAACAGCCAGCTTTCACGTAACTTTCAGTACAAGACACACTGCAACACCATGAGGATAGAACATATTTCTATAAAATCTTTTGACATTCACTCGTCTTCAGTTCAAAAAGAGAATTGCGTTAATTGTTTTGACAATTCATATTCCTGGTGAAATATTTAATAAACCAGCAATGCATTTGTTATTAAAATAACCTAGGGGGGGCCATACATGAGCAAACGTTCTCTCCACGTAATCTCTGGTCTTGAGGTATCCAATTTGAGACCATTCAAAGTCAATAATGAAAACCGTTGGATTGTCACTTGGAAAGAGCGGAGGCATTGACTGGCACTTGAATCAACACTGGAGGAACAAAAACAAAACAAAAAACAAAATAAACTCTTAAATCTTAAATTCCAATGAATTTGAATATTTTGCTGAGTCAATGAGATCACATTTAGCCAGAACTGACTGAGGTTCCTCGTTGTTGACTGGCCGCATTGACAGTAATCCGTGACACGATGCCCGCGTGACGTGTGTTGAACGGACTCGGCGTTGTCAAGCTCCAGAATCGCTCTCATCAGCAGCGTGTGACACTTTGTAAACCCGGCAGTCTGGTGTGCAACTCATCAAATGTCTGCACACACGTCTGGCTTTGTGTGACGGCCTCACACTTGAAAGCCGCTCTGTTGAATATGGTGAAACTGCAGGCGCAGAGACTGTATGCTGCTTATGATCCTCCTCTGGTGGCCAATCAAACAGATCCCAATTCGCCTGATGTCACTGAGGAGGGAAAAGAAAACATTTTTGAAGAACCAGTCAAAGAAAAAATACTCTTAGTTCCCGATGCAGCATCCACGTGGGAACAATCGTCTTATTTTGAGTGACTAACACTCCGACTGGAATAATTCAAAGGGGGAGAAAAAAAGTAAGCGCAGAGGGTCAAGAATAACACACATTTGGGCTCACTCACTCTACGCTCATTGTTGAAATGGAATCCAGCGTTGTATATCCTGCTGCAATGAAGTTGTTCTTGTATTGGCTCATTTTGATCGAATCAAGCCAGTCTCCGATAGAGATGAAGAGAGGGTAGTCGGGCATGGCGTCGGGAGAATCAGGGAAACTGAAGACAGTGTTTAGGAAAGAGAAGGAGCAGAAGGATTAGAAGCATAATTAATATCCTTTGAAGGACCGACTTCAGCATCCATCCACTCAATAAAATAATTTATCGACTTGAAAATGTGAAAATGTATCTGGATCCAGATGATTTTATTTTGTGCAATACAATGAAGTACATTCAACACATTGTTTTTAGTGTAGTGACGCTAAACCAAGAGCCATTACAGAACCATTTCCCCGTTGTTCACTTTACCCCCACTTTTTTTCCCAACTTGATACTATCACATGAGATTGGAAGAAAAAAAAATCCAGTGAGAAATGTTGACTGTAGTTTACTTACTCTGATAATAACGCTTTTCTCTTTTCACCATTGCCGTCCACCTGCATTGGGGCCATGTGGTGCAGTGACCAAGCAGATCCAGCAGAGGGTGCTGCAACTACAGGGCTGGAGGGGAACAGTATGGCCTGCATGTCACGGTCATTTCATCAAACAAGTCAGATGGACATGTGAAGGATTGTTCTGCTTTTAGTTAGGGGGACGATGCAAGGGAAGTTGAACTGCCCCAATTTAAAATTGTATCGAAGTTTGTTGACTTGAAATTTTGAGTTCACCCAATCTTGTTTTTTTCTCCAGTGTCGGGGTATACCTTGTAATCAGGTACTCGATTTTATGTCAAAGTTCAACCTGCTAAGTGACTGATTTGCTCCTGGAATGCAACGCGTGTGCGAGATGATACGTACTTGTGTGACTCGTTCACCAGAGTGAGGAGCCCACTGGGGTTAATGATGAGTTTGTCCAGGAAACAAAGCACATTGTTGAATCGTGGACGCTGACTCGGCTCCTTCTGCCAGCAGTGCAACATCAGCTGGTGCAGCGTGACAGGGCAGCCCATTGGAGCGGGTAATCGATATCCCTCCTCCATTGATAAAATGACCTGGGAAAGTTGGAAAGTTATTCTCCGAGGTGTGCCGCTGTGCCGTGCTGTGTCAATCTGGTATCGACATCTTACATCTTGATTGGACATCTCCCAGTAAGGCCTCTCGCCATATGACATCACCTCCCACATGACAATGCCGAAACTCCAAACATCACTGACTGAGGAGAACTTTCCGTAAGCAATTGCCTCTGGTGCCGTCCAGCGTATTGGTATCTTTCCTCCCTGATGATAAAAGCAAGACTGAATAATTGTTTGAGGACAGCCGACCTTGGGCAGAAGTAGATGACCTGCAGGCAACCCGAATCAAACACTCACGTTCACCGTGGCGGTGTATGCCGCCTCGGTGTCTTCTTCCATGACTCTGGACATGCCAAAGTCGGACACTTTACACACCAAGTTCTCGTCGACCAGAATGTTGCGAGCCGCGAGGTCTCTGTGAACGTAACCCATGTCTGAGAGGTAGGCCATCCCCACTGCCACGCCACGCATCATTCCGACCAGCTGGAGCACCGTGAATTGACCGTCGCGTGTCTGGAGTGGAATATGGAAAGGTTAAATGCTGCCTCAAATAAGAGCAAGAATGTGTTCAACACACACACACACACACACACACACACACAAAGTTAGGGATATTTGGCTGTCAGGTGAAATGTGTAAAAAGTTCACACTACAATGATGACATTTTTTTAATGAGAAGGGTGCACTTGTGATTTCTTCATCTCAAACAATTCATTGAAAGAAAAGTTAACAATGTTGGGCAAACCACAGCAAATGTCTCAATAACTCGTCATGTGCCCTTGAGCATCCATTTCAGCTTGACAACGACGTCTCATGCTGCTTAAGTCGACTTATTGTCTGCTGAGGCATGGCATCCTCCACTGGTCCCTCATCCCGCGTAAATGCTTCCTGGCCCATGCAAGACGATGGCGCCTGTGCCCGGTGGTGTGGTCAGATGCCCTTGCGGGTCGGCTAGCCCGTAGACCACGCCGATGTAAACGGTTTCGAATGGTCTGACGTGACACTTGGGTGCCTCTCACCTCCCTTAATTAAACGTGCCTGAAGTGGGGTGGCATTCATCATCCGGTTTCTCAGGGCATTGTTCACAATGTCGCGGTCACCAGCACGGGATGGGGCCAAAGGACATCCACTTCTACATCTTTCTGTGACTCTTCCAGTCCCTCGGTATCTCTGTTGCAACTTGCTGATGACACTCTGACACTCTAAGCTCAGTAACCACTTCCGTCAAACGTCCCCTTTGAAGCATCACAACGGCAACGCCCTAATTGAACCGGGACATTTATTGGTCGATTCAAGAATCAAACGCCTGTTGTGAATTTTGCCGTTGAGCTCCTCGTTAGAGAGCAGCAACTTGTGCAAAAAGAACTCAAACATTTAACATGTGCACTAAAAGCTTCGAGAAGGTCACATTAAGTTCACCTCGAAAAGGTTGAATGCATTTGAGGCTCGTCCTGAAATTTCATCTGAAAGCCCAAATATTCCGAACCTTTTGTGAGTAGTGTGAATATATTATGTGAGAGTAGATTCCAACCCGTAGGAAAGAGTCCAGCGCTCCATTTGCCATGTACTCCACCACTATCATCACGGGCCTGCCTGTGGAAATAGAGGATGAAAGTCAAGGCAGTTAGGAAAGTTAATGAGAAAATATCTATCAGGCAGGCCATAAACGTGTACTGTAAAATGTTCACACGTGAGACAGAGAAGCAGGCCAGCATCTTACTTTTGGTGACCACTCCCTCGAGTCTGATGATGTTGGGGCTGTCAAACTGTCCCATGATGGACGCTTCACGTAAAAAGTCTCGCCTCTGATGCTCCATATAGCCGCCTTTCAGGGTTTTGATGGCCACGGCGATGTCCAGCCTTCCAGGGATGCGCAAACGACCACTGCAGACCTCCCCGAATTCCC